ATACCCAAACCCCCATTCTCATATACCAAACCCCCATTCTCATATACCTAAAACCCCATTCTCATATACCAAACCCCCATTCTCAAATACCCTACAACCCCGCCAATTCGCCTGTGCCACACACACAAACCAAACTATAATCTATTAAGCAAACAAACCAGCACTGGACAGTATAAAAAAAATGCAAGTGAAAAGTGATAGGTGGACTAGCATGGTCAAGCGACAATGAATGCAGAGAATAACTCGGAACTGATGCCACAGGTCTGGTCCCCGGGAGAAACTTCCACCCAATGACTCGCTTCTTAAGACGCTCAGAAGCTGCTAACGGAACAGAAAACAGCCGTACCGACAGGTTCCCATTCAGGCACAACAACTGTTTGACAAAAAAAAAAAGAGACGTTTAGCGAGTGGCGAGAGAAAAGATGAACAGAAAAGTAAATCCCCAAAGCACCCCCCGGAAGGACCGGAAAAGGGCAACAGTCCCGGCACAACTGCTAGAGTCGAACACAAAGAGCTTCAGAAAGCCCTGGGAAAGTTGACCCCCACCAGCCAAGAAAAGAAGAAAAAACCCAAGAAATGCAAATGAAAACCAGTTAACGAGCGCAAACACAAGATCAGTAATTTCATACACACTCGAAAAACATATATTGCCCAAGAATTGGGTGATTTGCGTATGGCAAGGAAGGTACAGTGTATACTGTTCTGAATCGCCAAAACATTGGCCCTTGTCTGTCCAATCCAAATGCTGTAAGCACGTGCGCTCGGTCTCAAGCAATCATGTATTGCGAGATGCACCTCTTGCATTTGCAAACATGAGCAGTTTGAATCAAGCCGTGCGTGGTTTATGCGCTGTTCGTGCCCACTCCCAAGCAATCATGGATTGGGTCTATTGGGAGATGCATTTCTCTACTTGCCCAAACATATGAGCAACTGACCACTAAACAAATTCCGTAACTGCGAGACGCCGCTCCCGCGCATGCACCAAACTCATTGACAAATGATTTCCAAATTCCAATTCAATGGCTGCCATGGTTGGTCCCAAGCAATCATGTGTTGTAAAATGCAATCCTCTCATACGCGAAACACCTGAGCCTGTTCTTTCAATCCTAAGTCAGTAGCGACTCTTACTTGGTCACAAGCAATCATAAAATTGTGAGATGCACTTCTCTTATACGGCAAAAACATTGGGCACTTAATTTGCCTTAAATTCAAATTCGGTAGCTACTCATGCTCGGTCTCCAGCAATCATACAATTGCGAGATGCACTGCTCTTACACACCAAACACATTGACCACTGTGACTTAAATCCAAATGCAGTAGCTAATCGTGCTCGGTCACTCAAGCAATAATGTATTGTGAGATGCAATTCTTGCATACGTGAAACACATGAGCCTTCCCTTTCAATCCCAAGTCAATAGCTACTCATGCTCGGTCACAAGCAATCATACAATTGCGAGATGCCCTTCGCCCATATGCCAAACTCATTGGCCACTTTGCCTTAAAGCCAAATTCAGTAGCTACTCATGCTCGGTAACAAGCAATCATACAACTGCGAGATGCACTTCTCGTATACGCCAAACACATTGGTCACATTGCCTTAAATCCAAATGCACTGAGCTAATCATGCTGGGTTTCAACTTTCAAGCACACCTGCATTAGAAGATGCACATTGCTGATACGCCAAACACATTGGCCATTGTGCCTTAAAACCAAATTCAGTAACTAAGCATGCTCGGTCACAAGTAATCATGCATTGCGAAATGCACCTCTCTCATACGCCAAACACATTGGCATTTTGTTGAAAATCCAAATTCAATAGCTACCCCAACCTCGTTCCCAGGCTCTTACCTTTGCACGCCCCAAGCTGCGAAAAGACCCTGGTTCCGGCTGGTCACGTGGCTCCCAGGATATTAAATTACCAAGGGAGGGATGGACAAATCTCAAATTACAATGTTTCCACTTTCCAATAGTAAAATGTATTGGCAAGGAGCGGACAGCAATGGACAGTATTGGAAAGTGTAATATGAGCGTACTTCATATCACAATTTACCATTGTATTGAAGAATTTGTGTCAAATTGCCAATTTTGTGCGCGTTTGTGTTATCTTTTTGTCATTCACATGTTACCAGGACATAGAAGCAAAGTTGAAAATTTCAAATTATTAAACGAACGGATATGTTCGAGTTTATTGCATTTCTTGCTTGTTTGGAATTTCTTGCTTGTTTGGAATTCGCTGTTCTAAATAGTGCGTATCATAACAAAATACTGAAGCCAAAGCAAGTTCTTTGTTTGGAAAGCATTTATTTGAGAAAAGATGTTATTTGTATCCTGCCAACGGGTTATGGAAAGTCTCTGATTTTCCATCTGACCCCATTGTTGATGTTTGCAAGGGATCATATTTATAAGTCGACTGACTTTCGTTCTCCATGGAAATCAATATCATTCGGGATATCTTCTCAGGACGTTTCGTCAGTTGTTATCGTTGTGTCTCCCTTGAATTCACTGATACAAGATCAAATATCTCGACTGAAAGCAAGTGGCCTTCGCGCGTCTGCCATTTCTGTAAATATTCGCAAAGAAATATTCCATGGAGAAATCACAGACGACGCTGTAAACCTGGACGGTACTCCATGATTGTGACCTCAGGCTTTGTGAGAAAGGTCAACTTGTCAAAGGACAATATCATATCGTGTTTGCCCACCCGGAGTCAATCATATCAACCAAATTTGGACGTGACTTGATGCTAAGTCACACATACAAAGAACGTGTTGTTGTTGACGAGGCTCACTGCATATTGGATTGGTATGTCCTACTGTTCCCTCAGTGTTGATTAATATGGTTGTACCATGCAATATTTTTTATATGCAGAATATGTCGAATTGCATATTACACGAGGCCATAATGGCCATTCTATTTAATGTCCACATACCCCCTTTGTATGGCCGATTTTTTTGAAGTGTGACCCCATAGTTGTTTCCGAGGAGTTACAATTTTTCTGAGGGGTAATGGGAAAATTTACAAATTTCTGATGGTTGTTTTGTGCTGGTACTTTTATCTTTTCTTAGGAGTTAAAATGTGGCCAGGCATATTTATCAAGCTTGCCCGGTGTGGATACACACTCAGAGTAACATCACAAACATCTTATTTGCCTGAGTACACAACACCAACACACAGGTTAAAATGTAACTGACCTCATACAAAGGGGGGTGGGTGACCAAAACATTTGTTTTCTGTTTTGAGGCAAGTGTTTTTGTTTACATACCTGTATATCCTCTCAAATAAGCATTTACAGAGGGGACTTACTGTATCAAGCCCCCTCTCTATTTATTAATTAACAAACAGAAACATCTGCAGTCAGTAGACTTATATATTTAGTACGCTTTTTGAAACCCTGACCAATTGCTATATAAATTAAAACTATCATTAATTCTTTAAGTGGCAATTACTTTATTTTTTACTCTGTCTAATGCCAGACTATTTTACTATATGTCTAATGCCATATATTCCCTTGTCAGGGGGAGAGTGCCGCCACTTGATGGGTTAAAAATACAAAAAAAATATTATAAACTTCATTTTTTCTATGTTTACCTTTTTTCAGGGGCAGTGAATTTAGGAAGGATTATGGAAAACTGGGTGTACTGTGTGCATTCTTTCCTGACATCCCAGTTGTTGCAATGACTGCAACAGCCAGTTCAACTGATATTGAGAAGATAAAAGAATCTCTGGGTTTCAAAAAATGCAAATACATCATCGGTAACCCGGACAGAGCAAATATTTGCTATAAAAAAGTTTTTCATTCTGGAATGGATATTGATGCAATCCATTTCCGTTGGCCATAATTTACCTACCCCCATAACTTTCCATTGACCATAATTTACCTACCCCTCAGATGGTGTGGTTTTGCCTATAGGTTGTTTGAGTCAATCCTATGCCACAAGCAGTATTTTCCAGAAGGAGCACATGCCATACCAGATAATAGACTATTTGCACAGTTCCATGCCCCTCAAACTGCAGAGATGAAAGTTGGAATATTATGTCAGATGTGCTCAACTAATAGCATTGTTCGTGTGGTGTTTGCAACGGTCGCTATTGGAATGGGTGTGGACATACCAAATATCCGTCAAGTTATACATATAAGTCCCCCTTGTTCTGTAAAGCAGTATTTTCAAGAGACAGGAAGAGCAGGTAGGGATGGGAGGCCAGCTGATGCCATACTGTATTATAATAACAGGGATATTGCAAAAAATAAAGTTGGCATGCAAAATAGCATGAAGGAGTTTTGCCATCAAAATAAAGAATGCCTGAGAAAAGAACTCCTGAGTCACTTGATTACTTATATGACAAGAAAAAAAATCCACTACACCTATGTTGCAGTGTGTGCGAGAAGGCCTGTGAGTGTTCATTGAAGACTTTCTGGAACTATAAACTTTAATACATTCTATAAATCAATGTTTTGTTTGTGAGTTTTCAGCAACCTGGTATAATATCAGTTGCTCGCTACTCTGGTTTTAATAAATAAATGCAAAGTCGAGTCACACACCCAATGTTTTGAGAATCCAGTCTAGTGTCTTCATCAGGAGTCACGCTTTGCATTCATTTATTAAACTCAGATTAGCAAGCTAAAACATGACTAATGGTTTGTTATTAGCTTGTTTTATAATACACTAATGTTAGATAAATTTATTTACATTTACTTCTTATGTCCCTATCAATGTTAAGACTGAAATGGATGTTAAATTATATGTGAGTTGAATCTTTTTCATGCCTTAAGGATAAGGCAAAATTGTTAATAATATATTCAATGAACCGAATTGAATACATTGTTAACTCTTTGAAACAATTTGTTATGCTTATATAACATTAAAAGATGGACAATATTGAAACATTAAAATTACATTGTGCACTGGAATATTAAAATTGCACTGGAATATTAAAATTGCACTGGAATATTAAAATTACACTGGAATATTAGAGTTAGGAAATTTGCAAAGTTCTGTTAATTATTGTTCGATATCATCAAAAACATCTTCATTGTCATCTTCACTGTCATCTTCATCATCATTATCAAAAACAGGATAATGTAATAATATGTTTTTGGTGTGTCGTTTAATCCAAGTTTGAAATTTAGCACTATCAAACTTCTTCGTTGGATTAGCAGAAATATCCTGAAATGATTCAAATTCTCTACCAACTACTTTCTTGAAAGGTCTCAAATCCCTCAAGTCTCCAAGAATGACCGTGTCATCATTCAAAGCAGACTTATGTGAATGGGAAAGGACTTTCGGTGAATATTCACATGCTCTTCGTAAGATTCAATCTTTTAACACCCCCACATGCTTTACTTGCTCGCGAAATAGCTTGTTCTGACTTGTTAGCTCCCATAGACTTTATCAGTTTTTTCATCTCACTGTTCTGGTTCTCTTGGAACAGGTCTATTTCAATGTTCTTACCAGAACCGCCATTCCAATTTACAGTTGCGGCCCACTTACATTGATGTGCCTCTGCTTCAGTCAGCAAGACTTGATACTGAAGGATGTTTATTAACATCTCTATGGCAAACTCGTAGCCAGGAGTACTGAAGAAATGTACCAGCAGCTGCTTTCGTAATACTTCCAAGTATTCTCCATTACCAGATTTAACAGCATCCTTTAAATCAGCCGGCAGCAAGAATGAAGCCATCAGGTTAACTGAATATGATTGCACACCGTCTCTCATACATGCATCGTGTCCATCATATGTTGCAGAAAACACATACTCATCCAGGAACTTTTCCACTGTAGTGAAGATGTACACATCCTTTTGTTCTTCATCCAGAGAATTGGGAGCATTTTGAGAAGGTTTTTGCTTTGTGTCAGTCATTTGGAAAAATTCCAAAAGGGCTTCTACAACAAAACATTTACCCATGCTCATGCATGAACAACTGTTCACACTCTTCAAAATGTTTCACATCAAGAGTTACATTGCGCCGGTTTAACTTCTCTCTAAAATACCTGATGGTACCTTTTTCTCTGGCAGAACTCTTGTATAATCTTTTAAACACACTCTAAAAACAACATCAAAGTGCCTCAATAATCTTACTGTATATTAGCAAACATGTTATGGTAACACAAGAATTACATGGTCAGTCAATTACACCTGCTATGAGTTTGGCCATTCTGACTGGTATGCCGTGGGGGGGGGACTTTGGACCCCTCCCCCCCCTTTAACATGTACCTGTAAATTAGGTTTCGGCTTAACAACAGAAAATTTAACACGACTACCACACATAAGATACAGCAAGTGTGGTATATGAGGTAAGTAATCTTTGAGTTAAGCCCTTTTCGAGTTAAGACCCAACGATGCCCAAACCACATCTGTTTTCGTCAAGGGCTTAAAGACTCAAAGAAAGAAACACAACTTGGAAAGTTTGAGTTAAGCCCTGCGAAAAAAGTGGGGAATATTCGTCGATCCAGTTAAGCTCTGCCATTTTGAGGCATGTAAAGGCCTGTTTAATCCTGCAATTTTCTTCTGAGTTATGAATGTTCAGATGAGGGTACATCAGTGAGGTATATACTCAGAACATTCATAACTCATTTACTCGTTCACATGCATCAGAAGAAAATCGCAGCAGAAATTGCAAGTGTAAATGGGCCTTAAAGGTGGAGTAATACGGGCAACAAAATTGCTGCAACAAAATCTGATTTCAACGCATGTTAATTGAAAATGTTCACACATACATTAGAAATCACGTAGCCTGCGAGCAGGCTCTCTGGGTGCCTGCTCGCAAGCTACAAATCACGAGGCAACATGTGTCAACATTTCTACTTAACATGCGTTGAAATCAGCTTCTGTTGCAATTTGCAGCAATTTTGTTGCTCGTATTACTCCAGCTTAAAAGAGCAATGATTTGAGTTGCCCACAGTCTAGCTGGAAATAGTTATCATATGTCTCAGCTTAAATAAGCTGCAGCCTAAAGCTGGTTTTCCACTTCAAGCGTACCATACCGAAACATATAAAAAACTTTTTAATTTCAAAATTTTGTGACTGTTGATTGGTTAGTACTTCCGTAGTATGCAAAAAAGTTGACTTGTGACAAGCTTTTTATTTTGATATGCGAACACATCCGGAAGTACGTGGATTTATAAATCTCTTTTCAATCTGCGCATGCTCACCAGTACGTTTCGGTATGATACGGGCGAAGTGGAAAATCAGCTTAAACGAATCACGAATAACTCGTATAAACAGTCAGTTTTCATTAAGTACTGTAACAGATTCTTTTGGACTACTGTAGCTTTAATTTATACCTTATTTACGCTTATATATTACGAATAAATTGACCCTTTACACGAAATAAAACCATGAGGTCCATTTATTCGTAATAAGCTCAGATGTATAAAAGCTAGTAAAAAAACTGTTACTTAATGAAACATGAATGTTTATATGAGTTGTTCATGACTCCCTTAGGCTGCAGCTTATGTATCAAAGTATGTATAAGTTCATGCATGTTACCTTTAAGTAGCTCCTCTTGGTATGCCAGTCAACAATGCAGAATGGATACAGGTGATCTAAACGTTGCCTAGCTGTATGGCAACCAGCATGAAGGTCTTTTGCACCAGCAAGACGGATCCTAGTAAGCTGGTCACCAAAAACAAGGAACTCTAACTCCGCGCAATGGATCTTCACCAGATGAAGTAGGTGGGATATGTGAGGCAGGTTGGTCAGGTCTACAACTGAATTGTACAGCAGGAATAGAACCGGAAGAGGCAGGTAGAGACTGAGCAGAAAACAAACCGGAAGCTGCAGGTAGGGATGGAGCAGAAACCGAACTTGAAGATGCGGGTAGGGTCGGAGCACAAATTGAATCAGAAGAAGGGGTTGATTCACTTGATTGGCACAATCCAGCAGCAAAGTATATTTTTGATGTGTCCAATCTTCTAATTTATCCAGCACATCTACACACTCTGCATATTTTTTTTCGTCTTTCATCAGAACTGGCATAGTAATGGTTTCTGACTTCATTGCCATTTCATCAGAATAACGACAGCATGTGCTGTTGTTAGGCAAGCTGGATTGGTAGGAGCTGAAAAAAGGAAAATGTTCAAACAGAAGATCTTGAACAAACCTGTGATACTGCTTTCTTATACTTTCTATTTCTGAGGCAGTAAGCTTCACCAACTGATAAACATTGCACTTTCGTAGATCTTGCTGTGGTTCTGAATCTGGTAACTTCTCATCAGGGACTCGATTGAAGACAATGGTGGTTGCCACAGCATGTACACTCGTGTTTTGATTGTCTTTCCTCATGTCATGGACCCTTTCCTCCCAATCGATATTGTCCAATACAAATACAAATTTGTAACCGGACTTCACTAGTTCCACAGCACGCTCAAGGAAACGTTGACCAATATGATCAAGTAACATGTACTTCTTTCTTGGATGAAGGCAGATCCCATATTTGTTTAAGCGATCAATCAACTAAATGATGAAAAAGGAAATTATGTCATGTTATGAGTCAAATTTCTTCACAATTAAATGTAAAGTAACATCAAACTGAAGAATAAAATTTTATTAGTTGCTCAGGCACTGTGAACAGGTGACAATATTAATAACAGCTCCTGGTAATATTCACGTGCGGTATGTAACAGAGCAGATGTACATTTTTTGTGCTCCGTATATTCGCTTCGTTCTATGTGATCTGAATGTGCATTGAATTGAATATAACTTAATTGTTCACTATATACAATGCCTCCGAAGAAGAAGGCTCTGAAAACAAACGATTTAACAGAAGAATCTACTGCTACAGTCGAAAATAGTGGAAAAGATGTAGTCGATATGGCTACGCTTCGGCGAGATTTAGTAGCTTTGTTCGACCGACGTTTCAAAGGGCAAACAGATCACATTAATAATCTATTTACCAAGCTTTCCAAGTCGACCAAATCTGATCTAGATGAAATACGCAAAAGCCAAGAATTCTTGGGAACAAAATTCCATGAGCTAGCCGCATCAATGAATGAAGTAAAGATGGAAAATGCAAAGCTAAAGAAAGACAATGTCGAATTACAACAGCGTGTCAGCCTTCTACAGAAGCAAGCCGATGCTGCCGTGACAGATATTGAAAATCTACGCCGATACTCGCGAAGAGACACCCTGGAAATCCAGGGAATTTCTGCTGTTAATGGAGAAAACACTAATGCTACTGTCCTAAAAGGTCAATCTAGTTTCATTATTGATGGAGTGGAGCATTGATGCTAATGTTATAGCCAATCAATTTTGTAAATACTTTTCAAGCCTAGGTTCTAATCTAGCAAGTAAAATTCAAAATGTGTCGGTTTCTCCAAATTCATTTCTTACCGGAGAGTTTGTAAATAGCATGTTCTTGGATGAAGCTACTGAGCAAGAGATTATTGAGATTGTTAATTCTATTAAGAATGGTGTAGCTTGTGGCTATGATAATATACCTGTATTTGCTGTCAAAGAATGTATTGATTTAATTGCCAATTTTCTTACTCACCTGGTCAATTTGTCATTATCATCTGGTGTCTTTCCCAATCCATTAAAAATTGCAAGAGTAGTACCAGTGTTTAAATCGGGGAATACTAGAATAATATCTAATTATCGACCTATTTCGGTTTTACCAATTTTTTCTAAAGTATTTGAAAGACGTCTACAATCGTTTATTGAACTATTTGGATAAATGTGGTATTCTTACTGAACATCAATATGGATTTAGAAAAAATCACTCAACTTCTCTAGCCTTACTTCAATTATATGACAAAATCTCTTCAGCAATAGAAAGAAATGAGTTTACAATTGGAATTTTCTTAGACTTGTCTAAGGCTTTTGACACAGTTAATCATAATATTTTGTTTGCAAAAATCCAACATTACGGTATCCGAGGGAAAGCCTTACACTGGTTTAGGAGTTACTTTAGTAATAGACAGCAGTTTGTTCAATACAATGGTGCATGTTCTCAAAAGAAGATTATCAAGTGTGGCATACCACAAGGCTCAATATTAGGACCATTACTTTTCTTGTTATATGTTAATGATATCTGTAATGTTTCCAGTGTGTTTCAGTTTGTTCTATTTGCTGACGATACAAATTTGTTTTATGCGAATAGAGATCTTTCCTCCTTATCTGAACATGTTAATCAAGAGTTACATAAATTATCTGTTCGGTTTTCATGTAATAAAGTTATCCATTAACTTAAAAAAGACCCATTTCATGATTTTCAGACCAAGACAAAAACAATGCAATGTTGAGCTAGACATTTTGCTAAATAATTATAAAATCGAATTAGTAAAAGAGATTAGTTTTCTCGGGGTGATCCTAGATGAACATCTCACGTGGAAATCCCATATATCGTACATAGCCAGGAAAATTTCGAAATCGATTGGGATTATAAAAAAAGCAAGCTTTTGCGTTTCTAAATCATTGTTAGTTTTGTTAAACTATTCTCTTATTTATCCATATATGCAATATTGTATACTAGTCTGGGGCTCCACTTATCCATCAAATTTAAATCGTATTGTGTTGTTGCAAAAGCGTGTTATTAGAATAATAAACCACGAGGTATATGACGCTCATACAGAGCCTATTTTCAAAGAACTTGAGTTGCTGACTTTCTATCAAGTGTATTTGTTTCACTTAGGTAAATTTATGTTCCTGTATCATAAACAAAGGTTACCACTCAATTTTAATACTTTTTTTCATCGAGTTAGTGAAATTCATGCGTATAATACGCGGAATTTGAATTTATATTCCATTCCATTATGTAGAACAAATATTAGACAATTTTCTGTTAACTACCAAGGTGTAAAATTGTTTAATTCACTCAGTCATGATATTTGCGATGCTTCATCTGTTGGCTGTTTTAGACAAAGACTAAAAGAATACTTATTAAATTTATAGCTTTCTGTCCATTTATCACTTTTTCTTTTCCTCTTTAATTGTACTTTAATTTGTATTAGTTTGTATTAGCTATATGTAATTATGTGTAATTGTGTGTCTCTCTGGCTTGATCAGGATGAAAAAGGTAGCCCAAAATTTATAAGCCTTATGGTTTCTCTTGGGCTCCCTTGCCAGTATAATTTATTTATTTATGAATGTTGTATTTTTTATTTATTTTTTGGCAAAATAAATTGACTTGACTTGACTTGACCCTAATTATTTGTGAATAACTGAAAGTGGTTATCCCTAAAACCAAAAAATTATGGAAAAATTGTGAAAAGAGATTGTAATGTGTTCATTTAAGATTTGAATACATAAATGCATGTATTTTGTATTTTGTACATCAACTGTGTTGATGTTCTTAACTGCTTATTGTATGGTCTTGTGAATTTAACAACAAACATAATGAATTGTGAGATGTACATTGTATAACATAAACTGTCTGTACCAGTGTAGGTAGTATACCAATGTAGAATTGCTGTGCTGAGTGGTTATTTTACTACCTGAAATAAACAAGCAGAAACTTGATGTTTCGAGCGAAAGCTCTTCTTCAAGAAGGGCCTTCCTCGTTGACGAAAAGCCTTCGCTCGAAAGAAACGTTGAGTTTCTGCTTGTTTATTTCAGGTCAAACAGTATAACCACTCAGCACAGCAATTTCACATTATATAACAGTATGTAGTACTAGTAAAGCTTCTCAATTTAGAAATACAAACACAATGTTTTTATCATGTATTCGATATATACCCTGGGATTGATGGCATGCGAGGGAGGAAACTTTTTGTATATAATTTTTGCTATGAAACTCATGGTAGCAATATTTAGAATATAGGTAATGCCATATGAAAGGATGAAATCAAATTAAACCATGATTTTTACTTAAACATGGAAGTAATTTCAAACTACCTTTTAGCAAACTACACAGCAAATTTTGTACTTTAGTTATTGAAATGTTTTATATGGCTAACAAAATAATAAATTATTATTTATTAGCACCAAAAAATAATTATTTAATTAAGCTCACATTTACAGAAGCTTGGCCATGGGTGTGTAGTATGGAATTGATCCGTTGTATTCTGCTTAATTCATGGCATCTCAAATGCATAATAATGCCATAAATCAAGCATAATGCAGGCTCTTTCTTTTCACTGTTGTGACTTATATCCTGGCCAGAAGCACAGACAGAATATTATTTACAACAGGACATCTAGTTGACAATTCATTTTTCACTTCAGACATCCAGTTGTTGGCAGCCAGACCCTCAAATGATCTTTCCCGCAAAACTGAAGGTTCACTCCTTCGAGCAACTTCAACAAGCTCTTTATTGGCCTTCTGAATCATTGAAACTAATTCCATGGCTGGATTAACCTGATAAATAAATATATGTATGATATGTTAGACTTTAGTAACCAATACCCAATATAAGGCTACTGATACACCACACAGAAATCTTAATAATTAAAAATAAATAAAAGACCCAAAGCCTTCAAAGCTCTGAATTCAAAGATGTTGTGCTGTATACAACAAAACATTAGCTAATAAAATTATTTTATAAACTTTTGGCATTGAAAATTATTTGATGGGTTCTTTTATTCATATTAACCTTCAATTGGTAATGCGCCCAGATGTGCCCTGTATTGCTGTATTTTACTCTGTCTAAGGTCAGATAAATTTACTCGTCAAGGAGAGGGTGTGGCCACTCAGTGGGTTAATCAGACTATCTGTCCTTCCCATGCATCTTGCTTGGTACTGTATTTTTACTATTTTATAACCCAGATCGATATTAACCCTTTAAGTGACAATGCACCCAGATGCACCCTACTTTATTATTTTGGATGGAGAATTTATTAGAGGGGTTAAGATGCATACTTCCCCTCCTCTGATACCATGAAATGGGCTGGTAACATAGTAAATTCTTTTTGCACTTCTGATGACAATTTTTATAGAATTCTCTTCTGATGACAATTTTTATAGGGATTACTAACATACGTAGGCGGATGACTATTGTAAAGTATATTGGTAGATGATATTCATAAACAATTGACTCACTTGTATTGGCATGGGTAAAGGTGTAGCAGATCTAATTTCATCACTCGAGGACGACACATTGACAAAGTCTAACTGCGCCTTCGACTTTCAACTGCAGCAACCTTTGTCGAAGATCTGGCAACAGATGGAGAAACTTCAGGGCATCGCTTGGATCGTAATCTTTTATCAATGACTTCTGCGTTTCGGAAATTACATTCTTAAATGTAACAGTATTATTTAATCGTCGTTCACAAGGACAGCAGATCAAATTAGGAAAACCATCAACATGCAGCAGTTTCTCGCCATGAATCAACTCCACGTTATTCAAACTTTTCACATTTGTTTTGTTAAAGAGATTCTTAGAATGTTTCTGATCTTGTATACCATTACATAACCGACAACGAGAACTATTTTCAGTAGATCCAGAAGATTTTTTGTAAAATTTCTTTGGCGTGCTTTTGCTAGCCATCAGTATAAGCCGATATAGTGATGATACAGTGAAATATGATATATTTGTAATCTTTGAGAGCAATATGATGCTCTTTCATCTGCAACACATGATTAATCTGTTGTTTTAACATTTCTTCAAGAAAAAATCTTTTATTATTGTCTCGTACAGTAGAATTTTACTATTTTACAAATTCAGAAACGATTTCAATACATACAAATCATACCTACCACCCCTCCCTCCCTCCCTGAATAGCAATTTATTTTAGCACCCAAAATCTGGGAGCCATGTGACCAGCCGGCACCAGGGTCTTTCCGCAGCTTGGGGCGTGCAAAGGTAAGAGCCTGGGAACGAGGTTGTAGCTACCCGTGCTCGGTCGCAAGCACTGATCATGCTGGCACTGCTAGATGCACCTCTCTCATATGCCAAACACATTAGGAAATTTACTTAAAATCCCAATTCACTAGTGACTGGTGCTCGGTCTTGAGCAATCTAGCATTGCGAGATGCACATCTCTCTTACGCCAAACACATTGGCAACTTTGTTTAAAATCCAAATTCAGTAGCTACTCGTGCTCGGTCTCAAGCAATCATGCATTGCGACATGCACGTCTCTCATACGCCAAACCCATTGGCAACTTTGTTTAAAATCCAAATTCAGTAGCTACTCGTGCTCGGTCTCAAGCAATCATGCATTGCGAGATGCACTTCTCTCATACGCCAAACACATTGGCAACTTTGTTTAAAATCCAAATTCAGTAGCTACTCATGCTCGGTCTCAAGCAATCTAGCATTGCGAGATGCACATCTCTCGTATGCCAAACACATTGGCGACTTTGTTTAAAATCCAAATTCAGTCGCTACCCGTGCTCGATCTCAAGAAATCATGCACTTGCGAGATGCACTTCACTTATACGCCAAACACATTGGCAACGTTGGTTAAAATCCAAATTAAATAGCTACTTGTGCTCGGTCTTAAGCAATCATGCAATTGCGAGATGAACTTTTTTCATATGCCAAACACATTGGCAACTGCTAAATCCATTGTAGGATTTGTGCTCGGTCGCAAGCAAGCAATTATGTATTGCGAGTTGCACTTCAGTCATACGGCAAACACAGTGGTCCTCTTTCACTCAAGCAAAAGCAATAAACTACGGAAGCTCGGAGTGAATCAATCATGTAGTGCAATTCGCTCCCGTCCCATATCATACGAAAACACAATACCCAATAACCATTTTATTAAAGGCGAAAGGTAATCACTATAGCCTAGCTATTTTTCTTTTCGACAATTTAATCTTGCGAAATACACGACCCGCTCAGGGGCGGATTTAGACCGTTGCAACCGGTGCATATGCTACGGTCAGATTTTCCCCGAGATATATTTTTCCAGGGTGTACCTTTTTTAAAGTTATTAAAAACTAAAACGTTATACTATTTTTAATTGCCGTTATTTTCAATTTTCCATTGAAACTTGGTGCAATTTTTTTCAAATTTACTAAATCATATTGATACAATTTTATCGAGTTTTTATTTCATTTTGGATAATTAAATTCGGGTTTTTCTCAAATTTCCACCCGAAATACTGCCTGTATTTGCGGGTTTTGCACTAGTACTATATCACATCATCCTGAAGTCGTAGCATTTGCTTCATTCTGATTGGCTTGCTTCGTTTAACCGTAGCAAACCAATCATAGCGCTGTGTTTGGAAATTTTTGCAGTGGTCAGATTGAAACTGACCGTTGCAAAAATTTGCAAATACGGCGTGCTGATTGGTTTGCTACGGTCAGACGAAGCAAGCCAATCAGAATGAGGCAAAATGCTACTGTCTGCAACAGTCGCATCGACTTCAGAGCGATGCTGCCTGTGTTATTGTCATGTCGGCTCCTCGTTGTAATCGAATAGTCGGTAAATTGTAATCGCCGCTCGTTGCAAGGAGAAAGATAAGGCTTCTACAGGACTGTATACAGATCCACATCACGATCTTCTGTGTATAATGAACGAATGTAACGTGTTTCATTTAACGAAAAGGTGCGCGCGCGAAAGAATTCTGATCGAAAGCTTTTGGTGTGTAATTATTGGCATAATTTGCATTTCCCGCGATGTGATCTGTGAAGAACAGTGCTGTTTGAATCACCTCCGTGTCAGGTCAGTCTCATGAATAGTATATTAAATATGTAAATAACATATCGAATTGTTTACACAGTTCATGCGTCTCGAATATATTACATATATTTGCTGATGAGACGTATTATTATACAAATGCAGAACAATATCAATGGGCACTCACAGTCTCACACTATTTGATAGCCATTGGCATGCCATGTGTGTTTATATTAAGAAATATGTAAGTAATTTTATATCTTAGACTTTGCTCATGTAATTATTAGTTGTAGACCTGTTGTAGACTAAAGACTAGCGAGTAGTGTAAATGAAATTTATAGAAATAGTTACACTCCGATATATTATATTGTAGTTTATTTTTCACCCGGCTCGGTTTCCTTTGTTCTTATCGGGGAATATATTCAATATTCCCCTCTAATCAATTTCTGTTTAATAATCCCCTCTAATATTCACCTGCAATTAATAATCCTCTCTAATATTCACCTGCAATGTCTTTGCAGCACAAAAAATGAGAAAAAAAAAAACATAACGAAGGCAATATGGCATTAAGAATTATTTCTATCCTGACTCATTAACGCGACCTCGCAGTGTGAAAAATAAGTACGTTATTTTGAGGCACCTCGGGGATATGTGTTTATTCACCTCGGCGCTACGCGCCTCGGTGAATAAATCACATATCCCCTCGTTGCCTCAAAATAACCTATACTTACATATGTATACTAACAGAGTTTAGAAATTACAACAGCTGAGCCTGCTTCCTGGGATAACGTATCATAAATATATGGTTAGATGTTTCAAATCCATGTAGTGTATACCTCACTTGTATTAAAATTCGCGTCGTATACTCATTTTCGTTCAGCTTTAAATTCGCGCATTCCAATTTCGCAAAACCTTGTTCGCGCAGCTTTAAATTCGCGCAAGTAATTTTCTGTGTTGGTTCCTTTTGGTTTGTTTTAATAATAGAACTATAACAACAAATACTTCAATATTTGTCAAAACAAAATTCATGATAACAGTAAAGCGTATAAAGTTCAAACCTCAAAATGTATGGTTTTCATTTGCCTAATACAATAACAATAACTAATTTTTATTAGCATCCCATATATTATAGGTTCATACATGGTATTGTCTTACATTATATTATTTACTAACAACGAGTGAATATTACACCGCAAAGCTTTTCGCGCGGATTATATTTCCCGCAGTACTAAAATTTGCGCACCAAGCTCCGCGCGAATTCCTGCAGTACTGCTCGAATTTTAGTACAAAAAACATATACAAATAAAGATTTTTCCTAATTGCCGTTGTGCTGCTGTTTCAAGATTATCTACAAATAAACATTTTCCCTATATTAACTTGGAGATCATCTATATACAGTACAGAAAATAATTTTCCTGACTGCCATAAGTTGTCCTGCTGTTTCGGGATGATCTATATATGCTGCTTGGCCAGATAAACATTTTCCCTAACAGTCGCTTGGCCAGATAAATATTTTCCCTAACTGTCGTTGGGCCGCTGTTTCAAGATGGTGTACATTTGAAAACTTTCGAACTACTGTTATCTTACTTTTTCAAGATAATCTATTGTTCGAAGTGGTATGTTGATGAATAAATGTTGTAACTTTTGTGCGTTTTTTTCTTATTTTTGTGTGAAAAACAGGCACTTTTCTACAAATTTTAAATCTAATTTCGATGCTCAGAATTCAGGAAATGGTACTTGCGGGCTTCAAATTTCAAAAATTTTCTGGGGGGGCATGCCCCCAAACCCCCTAGGTAGGGCGTGGCCTTCGGCCACGCATGTTCATTTCATCCAAAATGCTACGGTCAGATTGGGACGCTGAATCCGCCCCTGAATTATTCGCCGAAGGCGAGGTGATTATCGGTGAATAAAAACCGAAACGAAGTCGAGGTTTTTATTCACGATAATCACCGAGCCTGAGGTGAATAATTGTTTTAGTATAATTTCATAGGTGATTATATGGAAAAAATAAAAAAAATACACATTTCTTTGTCATTTAATTGACAAAAAGGCTTCGGCCGCTATTTTGAAAATCGCTTAGGTGATTATCGCGTAATAATCACCTCAACGGCAACCAATCAGCGTGGAGAATTTTCAATAATCACCTATGTAATTATACTAATATCTTTTACTGCTTCAAATTCGGCCGTAAACTACAATGACAAATAGAGTCAGTCTAAAGTAAAACACTAGGAAGATCATGTGCGTAATCTTTGCAGACTTTTCAAACGAATTTAACTCCCAATTACAAAATGCAAATTTCAATATACGGTACAACTGATATGTTTCAAACTCCTCGAAAATATAATATATAAAAATGTTTGAGAACGGAACTGAACATAATACATGCATAGAATCTGTATTAAGAGCCTGCGGAGTGCGGTGCATACAGTGCTCAATTATGCGACGACTTAAAACTATAAACAGATCAAAACGACAGTGGCGTAAGTTTGGACCAGGCTGCCCCTGGTACTACCGGGATTGGGTGCCCCCAAGGCGGGGAATCATAGATATTTTGAAGATGGAGCTCTGACAACATTTTTCTAGTCGTTTAGAAGCCAATTTTAATTGATTTTTTAAACTGGAAATAAAGATATATGGCAAAATATAAAGAAAACAACTATAAAATAGCACTATGCGGAAATTGTTTTTGATATAAAGAGTGAAGTGTGTGCCACTGCAGCATGAGCTCCACCTTTGAATTTACTATATGAGTAAATTCTTAAACACGTCCGAATTTATCATTATGATAAATTCGCGGCAAATTTTGAATTTATCATAATAATAAATTCGCGGCACCTAACACTAAGTCACTAACCCTAACCCCAACCCCCACCCTAACCACTAACCTCTAACCCCTAACCCTAACCCCTAACCCCCAACCACTAACCACTAACCACTAATTTTTTAAACTTTTTAAATTTTTTTACTTTTTTAAAAATCTAACTTTTTAAACTTTTCTTGCTCTTCAAAACTCTTTTAAAACTTTTTTAAAAGCTATTTTTTTTAAAAAGTTGAAGACAAGCGCCATGATCTCGCCAGGCAATTTTATTATAAAAAAATAATTATAATAACAACTAAAAAACTGAAAAATTAAACATGTGCGTCTCATTGAATACTTGCGTATTAATGTTTATGGAAGTAATATTCACTAAAGCATAAGCAAGAGTATATAATATTTACAAGACCAAGTGGAACTGTGGAATCTGTTGAATTACGCGCTGCTTAAGTACCGGCGTATAAATTCAAACGACCAAGCATTCTTAAGACATAGCCTACACTTCCACTCCCTACAGCCAGAATATATAATATTTCCAAGACCAAGTAGAATCTGTTAAATTACGTGCTGCTTTAGTACGCGTATAAATACAAATGAGAAAGCATTCTTAAGACGTACAGGTAAATTATATAACACAAGTTTTTGCTATTGGATTTCATATTAAGTCTAATTATACTTCTAGGCGCATTTACCACATTATATACACAGTAATTAAATTAAACTAAGGAACCAAAACTTTATAATAATATAGAACTAACAGTGTTTAGTGGCTGAAGTCCATTGAGTGAATTACAAGGCACAAAGTGCAGTCACGTTATTTTATGCACTAAATTATGGCTTTTGCAGGGCCTAAAACTTTAATAAATCTTACGCTGAGTGCCTGAGTCAAAATAATTTACAAGTCGAAGCAAGCAAAACGATATCTTCCAAAAAAGTGCAGCAAAACATTTTTACGATTTATATCAAATATGTATTCCTCTGTAAATTACTCGGTTAAATTGAAAGATGGAGTAACTCCCCCTTTTCAATCTTATATTGGTTTAAAACAAGGGTGCAATCTTATTCCTACTCTATTTAATATATTTATAAATGATATACAAAATTTGTTTAATCAATCGTGTGACCCTGTTAGACTTGATAATACGGACTTGTGTTGTTTACTTTATGCAGACGATTTGATTTTGTTGTCCGAGTCGGAAGCAGGATTGCAAAAGTGTTTATCAAAACTCGAAATATATGCAAAAAAATGGAAACTTAATATTAACAAAAAGAAATCTAAAATTTTAGTATTTGGCACAGCAAATCAGAGACGCTCATATTTGCTGACAAAATGGTACTATGAAAATGAAGCCCTGGAACAAGTAGATGAATATTGCTATCTTGGAATTACTATTCATTTTTCTGGGAATTTTAAGAAAGCCCTAAAAGTCTTACGCGATAAAGCTCTAAGAGCATACAATAACCTTTTAAAAAAATTTTCTAATTTTGAAAACGTACCAATAAAAATACTTTTAAAACTATTTTCAGCGATGATAATCCCCATTTTGTTATACGGATGTGAAATTTGGGGACCTTATTTGATAGGTAGAGTAACTACCTTTGAGATCTTTAAGAGTAAATTCTTCAAAATTATCAATGAAATTGAAAGAATTCATTTGAAATTCTGCAAACGAATTCTTGGCGTGCACTCAAAAACAACAAATTTGACTATTTATGCCGAATTAGGAAAGGTTCCTTTGATTGTTCAAATTTCTACTCTTGTAGTTAAATACTGGATTCGTATTAGCAGTACATATTTTAATAATACGTTATCTGGTGAAGCTAGAAACGTTTGCATGCGTTTGAATCTAAAACCAATAGTTTTCATACAATTTTTGCTAAAAATGTGTAAATTAGAGATGAAGGACTTCGAAAAATTTTCAAACTCCAGTGATGAGTCAATCAAAACAAGACGAAATTTTTGCCATTATTTAAATGTTACATTAAATAACGAATTTACCTCATTTTGGAAAGACCAAGTTCTTCAAAATGGTGATAGTGGTAAATTGAAAGAATATAAGAAACTTAAAGTAAATGTCAACCTCGTTCCCAGGGCTTTTCCCTTTTTGTCATTGGGAAGGCGGGAAAAGGCCCTGGCACCGGCCGGTCACATGACTTTCAACACCCAGATATAGTGGGTGTAATAAATTATAATAATCATTATTATCAATTAATTATAATAATCATATATTATATTATATATTATATTATATTAGAAAATCCAAGATGGCCGCCAACGTAGGAGTGTCCACAAAATTTAAGTGCTTAGAGGCGGCTTAAAAATGCGTTTAGTCTTTGAAATTTTTCCTTCTTTTTGCTACCGACGTACTCGAAATCAAATTCTTCAGCTTTTATTACATGGGAACTATGTAGTTGCTGTTCTTCCAACTGGGTTTGGTAAATATCGTTCGTTCGCTAAACAAAATTAACAGCCAAAATATAATAGTATAATACGACAGATGTTCTCCAGCTGGACAAGAGGACACGGAGAGTGTTTTGAACTGAGGATGTTAAACTTGGTTTTACCCTTCCAAAGACTCTGTTGTGGGACGATTGAAGTGATTCAAAGAAATGTTTTTGCATATACTGTATTAGTCTGTATATGTTATTGATGTATTGTTGTTGTATGTCAGTTATATTATAAAGTGCCAATGGTTGGAATATTTATTCATTGATATTTTAAACACAGATGAAGAGCTATGTACTCTTTCCTTGTTTACGTTTTCCTTGCAGCCAAATGTTGTTCAAGCTGGCATGCTGCAAGACTGACATATGAGTGATACGACCCAAATATTGGATATGCATCTTATAGTTTGCTTCCAGTAAAATGTAAACAAGACCTTAAGAATTCTATATGAGATATGAAATATTTCGTTTAAAATCATGACTGGCAAATTAGCATGTGTGAATTGATGCTACCTAATAATAATATTGTATGTACTCCAGTAAAGCTTGCTTGCTTCAATTCTTGCTGTTACCATCTGCACATTATCAGGGTGGAGAGATGACTTGATTTTTTTGTTCCAGGGGATAAAGGTAGGGAATAGATTTTCCATCACAAAAGGGGCAAGGTGCCCAACCAGTTAGCAAGATGGCATGTACTTTAAGTGACCATTCATTATACCCTAAGGTGGGGTGGGAGATTCCTCTGTCAAAATGTCATGGGACCCCTCCTAAATATTCAAGACTATATAACATGATGCAATTCTGATCTTCATTCATGTGAATGCCCGACATTTTGCAACACAGGGATGGATCCAGCATGATCTGGTAGTGGGGTGCTCTGCCAGCTCTGGTGCCGAGTTGTTTCGGTCATGCGTGCCGTCCGCCCATCAACTTGCTTCACTACTGCAAAGTCTTGCTTGACTACTGTATTTGAATTTGAATTGTTGTTCACAGCTTGCTTATCATCATGTTATTACTCAAATTACTGTATCTCATTTTGCCTCTAATAATTTTTTGCTTATCATGAAAAATAGCACCCCCCTCTGGTCAGGGCTATGGAGGGTGCACCCCCCAGTAAATCTATCCCTGTTGCAACATACACTATAAGAGCTAGAATGATTGTTTTCTTTGGATGATTTGATTCACTCGGTATCGGAATGGAACTCATTACCTATTGAACTGAAACAATCTACTAATCTTAATCTCTTTAAAACCAAACTAAAACAATTTATCTAATTAAGTTGAACAATTTATCTAATTAAGTTGAGTTTTTTTTTTTTTTTTTTTTTTTTTTTTTTTTTTTTCTAACTATGAAGTATAATTATATTTTTCTAACTATGAAGTATAATTATATATAATCCATTTGTAAATATATTATAGTTTTTAAATAAGCACAGTATAGTTTACCATGTATAATATAGATATATATTGCAGGACCTCCCTGAAAAACACTTCGGTGAGTGGAGCTTCCTGAATAAATATTATTATTATTATTATTATTATTATTATTATTATTTGTCTTAGAATTATATTACGTATATTACAACAATTCTTCCTTTTCTGAAACCAGGTGCTATTTTGTTTTTTACAACACTCTCTCCCCCCGCCCTGCCCCCCAAAAAAGACTCAACAGATCAAGGACCCCTCGAAGGCAATTTTGCCAGCAAAATAGATTTAATTTGATGGTAACTATTCTGAGAATTTATTAACTCATTGAGTGGCAGTATTCTGCATAGACTTGCCACAAGGCGACCTCGAACGAAACGCAAGCAGGGAGCGTGAGCAGACGTTTCATTTGAGGTCGACTTGTTGCAAGTCTACATTCTTCCCTTGAGTAAAATTGTCTGGCACCAGACGGAGTAATATACTAAAGTAGGGCACATTGTCATTATAAAGGGTTAATGGTCTATATTCAAAAAGCTCTATTTGTATATTTTAATTGACTTTTATATACCTACTTATACTTATAGCTACCTTACCCCAGTCACTTCAAGTAAATTTTACAGGACTGAGAGGGACATTGAAAATCCCTGGGTTTACTTGGCAAAAGCAAGAATTGAACCCAGTGGCATAACAAACTCGATAACTGGGGGGGCGGCAATATTCATATATTATATATAGACCTTGAAAACAATTGATTTCAAAGGAAATTAATAAGACAGAACACGAATATATGAATATTGCCCCCCCCCCCAACTATCAAGTTTGTTACACCACTGCTTGAACCATGCATTACATATATATGGAGAGCAGTTTTAAATATATTTTATCATGCAAATTCCCAACCTCGTTCCCAGGCAAATTCCTTGATAATTGTTTCTTAAAGGTCTTTGGCTTAGAATGGGTACACCCTCCAAAGGTGTTTATTTACAGGGTCCAAAGGTGTAAATATTCACTGTCCAAGGTGTTAATATAAACAACAAAACAATGTATATAATTAATTTTTATTAAATAAAATGTGGAATATTTTACAAATTGCATTACCATCACAAAGTGTACATAATTATCAATATAATTAGGACTTAGAAGCTGTTCACATGAGTTTGACTCTGACCCAGCACTCTTGGCAAGCTCCCCTAACAAGTAGAAAACCTCCAACCCCCTCTGACAAATCTGTCCAGATCTGCCCAAGAGGCAGGATTTTCTGGAGTATTATTAGTATAGGTAATAGCATGGTTTCGAGTGCAATTTGGATATAACATGCACTAGTGAGTTTTTCAAAGACCTCAAAATAGCACGAGTCCGAAGGACGAGTGCTATTTGAGGTCTTTGAAAAACTCACGAGTTCATGTTTATCAAATTTCAAGAGAAACCATGTTATTACTTATTAATAATTTAAATAAAAATGTTCGAGACAATTGTAGTTTTAACTTACGCGTTTATAGCGAACATTCCACTGGCAAAGTTTTCCTGGCTTTGTTTTATCACATTATACAACGCTAACAGCTTGAAAATTCCACTCAACTGTGTATTTTTTGTTAGTTTTGTTAAGGTAAATGCTTTTCCATTTAAAAATAAAGATAAAAGCCATATTATCCACGCAAAGGTAACTTTTACTTTATGTAGCGCGGCGCCATGTTTGTTTTGTTTTGATGCAATCTGTACCGTCACTTCTTTAAAACTAAACTGCTTTAAACTGATTGGTTGATTTAATCATCACAATGTTTTTCCACCAATCAGATCAGTTTGTTACAGATTTTTGCACTGTGATTACAGAAAATTGCACTGTGATTACAGAAAATTGCACTGCTGTTTGGGATTAACTGCACTGGAATCAACCATTCACAGTCGAGTAAAATCTTTATGTATATTATTAGCAGTGAAATTGTTGCATATTTTCAAACGTGCATTGTAACCTGATTTTAAAGCCTGTTTGAACATCAGACATTGTGGCAATGGCAAGATTGTCCAGCCATATGAATGCAATCTTAAAATATCATAAAAACAATGCAATTTAAGACCAGACAGCCCAACTCCTGCGAACAGCCCTTTATTACACATTCGAAGAATCTCTTGAGGCATCCAAGTACAAACATGCACATGGAATTACATACGAGTATGTGACACATATGCCCACCATTGCACAACTTTGTCTGCAACAATGCAAATACAATCAAGCTGGAAACAGATTTTATCAGTATTTTGATATATATATATATACATTATGGCTTGTGTCCAAAGACACCTGCACTTTCATATTAAAATTGTTCTAATATCATCAAAACAAAACACATCAGAAAACTGTAACATCAGCCAAATGAGCAAATCACTTTTTTAACACAATTTATGGTAAAATGAAGCAACATGTAATAGTATCTGAAACAAAACCAAATCACATATTATTCAAAAGTTATGAACACTGTTGCATTTATATGCAACTTGCATATAACAAAGTAATGAAGTATCGTCGCATTTCTAGTGGTGACTAACTATAAATTAGG